GTGGCTGGCGCCTTAGCTGATTGAGCTATAGGCGCCGAGCCATTGATCCCAATTCTAACCCCAACTCACTTAAATACCCAGTCCTAATCCCAAATCAAATCTCAACTACACTCCACTTCTACCTATATTTAAACCCAACTCCGCCCAAACCCCAAATCCACCACTCAAATTTAACCTTAAATTTGCCCACCCCATGGCAATTTAAACCCTATCCCCAAGTCTAACACCAAACTCTACTTTGCTTGGAAATGTAATCTCATGCTTACTCCCCTATAAACTCTCATTCCACCCCCAGTCTTAATTCCAACACCAACTTTTACCCCCAATCCTTAACCTAGATACTCCCCCACTCTCCCTAATTTTGCATGCTCGTCTCTCCTTCCTTCAAAGAGAGGGATGGCAGTAAGTGGGAGGCAGCCATGATTTCTCCAACATCTGTCCCTCCTTGACTTGATTTCTCCACACAGACACCACGCCAGAGCCCAGTCCAGCCAATGGAGCAGGCCCTGGTCCTGAATGGGGGCTGTGCCCTGGGCCTCCAGCTATGGAGGGTGAAAGCAATGGAGCTTCAGGCCTAGGGACCCCAAGGCGAAGAACCCAGCACAGCAAGCACAAGACAGTGGCAATAGCCAGTGCCCAGCGGTCTCCCCGGGCACTCTTCTGCCTTACCCTGGCCAATCCTCTACGTCGGTCCTGCATCAGCATCGTGGAGTGGAAGCATCCTAAAAGGCCAGGGGCAGGGCTCAGGTTAAATTAATTAGGGTATTGAGAGTCAGGATTGAGTCAGGACTAGAATGGAGGAGGGCTGAGGTCACCAGAGATCAAGGGTCAGGAACTGGATTTGAGGGGGAGTTCTGAAAGCCAAAAGTCACCAAGGGCTCAAAAGTTAAGGACTGAATCACTGCAAGAATTGGGGGTGCTTAGGGTGTCCAGGGGATTAAAGTTAAGGCATTGGTCAGGGAAGAGGCTGAAGAGGCTGAGAATGTCAGGACCTGTCACCTTGGATTCAAGGGCCAGCATTGGATGGGGAGGTCCCCAAGGGAATGTGGGAGTTTTGAGGCCATTCTGCCTGCCTGAGTCCTTGACTGTGTCCACCTGAGGCCCTTCGACATCCTCATCCTGCTGACCATTTTTGCCAACTGCGTGGCTTTGGGGGTCTACATCCCCTTCCCTGAGGACGACTCCAACACTGCCAACCACAACCTGGTAAGGTGATCCCCAACCAGATACAACCCCCATACAGCTATACCTCATGGCTTCCAGCCAGACCCCACCTCTCTCTGACCCAAATAGCCCATCGCTGCTCAGCCCCACCCTTGGTCCCTGCAATGCTATCCCTTCCTCCCACCTCCTCCTACCCCTGCCAAACCCCACCCTCAGATAACTCCCGGACTTTCTGCCCCGCCCCCAGGAACAAGTGGAGTATGTATTCTTGGTGATTTTCACTGTGGAGACGGTGCTCAAGATTGTGGCCTATGGGCTGGTGCTCCATCCCAGTGCCTATATTCGCAATGGCTGGAACCTACTCGATTTCATCATCGTTGTGGTTGGGTGTGCAACTGCGCGGGGAACCCTACCCTGCTTTGCCTTCCTACCCCAGGCCTACTGAATTCTGGACTTAGGGAAGCGACTACTTCAGACCTCTCCCCTTCGACAGCTAGAATAAAGAATATTAACATCTTTAAAATCCACTTGCATTTTAAGTTACAGAAACTTGTCCTTTTCTGAGGAGAAGGGAAGGGTGGCGGGGCGGTGGGAGGTGTCTCAAGATCTAATTCCCACCTCCCTGCCTCCCGTTCCACAATCAGGCTGTTCAGCGTGCTACTGGAGCAGGGACCTGGACGGCCCGGCGATGCCCCGCATACCGGGGGCAAGCCGGGAGGCTTCGATGTGAAAGCATTGAGGGCGTTTCGGGTGCTGCGGCCACTGAGGCTGGTCTCTGGGGTCCCCAGTGAGTGGCACAGCCCGGGGCTTGAGATTGAGAGGGTGGGGCTGGGCTGAGCTGGCCCCGCCCCTATTCCTCCCGCCCCTTTTCCCTGCAGGCCTGCACATAGTGCTCAATTCCATCATGAAGGCGCTGGTACCTCTTCTGCACATCGCACTGCTTGTGCTCTTCGTCATCATCATTTACGCCATCATCGGACTCGAGCTGTTCCTCGGACGCATGCACAAGACGTGCTACTTCCTGGGATCTGGTCAGCCATCCCGCCCCTCCTGGGCCAGACACACGACCTCTGCTGGCTTCAAGCCTCTCCTGTTCTCAAAGAAATGCACTTAAGTTCACAGGACTCTGCCCTTGGGTTTAGGCTCCACCCCTAGATGACCAAGTCCCACCCCTACATTCTAGGACTCTACCCTAAATCCCAGACAACAGCCCCTTGCTAACAGGTCCCACCCGTATCACAAGACCGCACCTAAAAGACTTAACACTCCATCCTCCATTATTTACGCCATTGATTCAGGCCCTTCATCCCAACCCCAGCTCAAGATTTACCTCCACTCTCTTTTCATTAGGTTTTTTTTTTTTTTTTTTTGCAGTTTTTGGCGG